AGAGTTGAACAGGCATCTTAACAAAGATATACAGATAGCAAATAAGGATATCAAAAGATATACATGATCATATGTGATTGGGTAATAAAAAAGTAAAATGTGAGCCCAGCTGGCATGGCTCAGGAGTTGAGCATCGACCTATGATCCAAGAGATCACAAGTTCGATTCCCAGTCAGGGCACATGCCTGGGTTGCAGGCTCGTTTCCCAGGAGGGGAGGTGTAGGAGGCAGCTGATCAATGACTATTAATGTTTCTGTGTCTCTCTCCCTCTCCCTTCCTCTGTCTGAAATCAATAAAGACATATTTTTTAAAAATAATAATTAAAATGTGATACCACTACACATCTACTAAAAAGGCTAATATCCAAAACACTAACACCAACAAATGTTGGCAAGGATGCAGAATCACAGGAACTGTGCAAAAATAGTACAGCCACTTGGGAATACAGCTTTGCGTTTCCTTTCAAAGTTAAACATAGGTTCACCATACAATTCAGCAATTGCTTTGCTTTGTATTTACCAAAATGACTTGAACAGTTATATCTACACAAAAATCAACACACAAATGTTTATAGCAGCTTTAATCTTTTTTCATTTTAAAACTTTTTTATTTTAATGCAAGCTGAATCTCCAGAAAATTATGCAGAGAAAAGCCAACCCCAAAAGGTTGCATGCTCTATGATTCCATTTATATAACATTCTTGAAAAGATAAAATTATACAAATGGAGAACAAATTAGTGGTTGCTAGGGTTGGAGGGGTGTGAGAAAGAAGTGATTATGGGTATAAAATGGCAATATGAAGAATTCTCGTGGTAATGGAATAGTTCTGTATCTGCGTCAATGTCAGTGTCCAGGTTCTGATACTGTGTTATACGTACTATTGCAAGATGTTACTATTGGGAAAAACTGGGTAAGGGGTACAAGGGATCTCTCCATTATTTAGTACAACTGCCTGTGAAATCTATAATTATCTCAAAATATAGTAGTTAACTTAAAATTAAAATAAAAAAAGAACTACTCTAGTCTAAAAACAAGAAAAAAAACTTTTTTATTTTACAGAAGAAGGCAGCAAAGTTCTCTTTCAAATAGCAGATATGATGGGTCTATTAGCAGAATATAAAGGAGTATAATTTCCTTAGCATTTTGATGGATTTTATTCACTGAAAGGAAAAATAATCTGTAGAATTCTTGTTAAAATGTTAATACAGATAGAATGTTCTGTTTAGCATTGACAAAAACAAAAGGGTAAGCCCTTTAATGTTAAAAATTTCTAGCTACCAAATAAAAGATGTTAAGGCATGTTTGGTTAAATTTATTAAATTACTTAAATTCAGTTACATGTGAAATGAGCTAATGGCTCAATGTAAGCTCTTATTATTTGTATACATAATTTTAATGGTTACATAAAATTCCAGCCAGTGGACATCTCTTCAGAACCATGTCCCTATTACTGAGCATTTGGCTAATTCTCAGTGTGAGGCTATTGTTAGGTTTGAAATAGTACATTAACCTCTTTTATATTTGGAACTTTTACTTAAAGTAATATCTTAAGAGTTTTCATATATATTTTAGAACATTTTATATAAACTGGGTTACAGGTATATGAGTATTCATTATATTATCTAAATATAATTATCTTGAGTATGTCTGAAATATTTCACTAAAAAACTAAACTCAGTAAATAAAATCAGGTACGCATTTAGTAATCAAATGCTTATAAACAAAAGTGCCAAAGAAAAAGAGTCCTAGAATTTCCATCATAACTGACGAAAAGACAAAATGGGGATCTTTAAGGTTCCTAAGCACTCTAACCACAGCATCTCCTGGCTTTCAGCTCACCATTGCTCAGATTCTTTCCGCTCCAGCTAAAAGTTACACTCAAGGTTTCTAGAATATGCCTTGCATTTCTCCTCTCTGTTCCTTCATTCAATTTGTTTCCTCTCCCGCAACATAGTCTCTTCTCCATTTCAACATGCCAAAATCCTACCAACTTTTCAACGTTTGGTTCTTCCTTTCCAAAGTAATTTCTCCATAGTGTGGGATAACAATAATAACAACAACACCAATGTTCACGTGGCATCACCAAAGCAGTCACAAACACTCTCTCATTGCGTATGATCATAAAGACTCTCTCATTTCCTCCTCAGAACACTCCGCAGGACAGTCCTGTGAAGCAGGCAAGGCCTCATTCCTCCCCTGTCAGCCTAGGCCTGGAATCACACTTCCTCCCCTTCCCTTGCGAGTGAGCAAAACACACCAGCAAACACATAGCACTCCTCGCTTTGGCTCTGGGGACTGACTGATGGATGATATTAATAAAAACAATGTAATCAAAGGCAAAAAAGAAAAGTGACAAAAGTAAAGAAACAAACAACACAGCATAATTTAATAAATGACTGTTTAGTCCTGGCTGGTGTGGCTCACTTGGCTGGACCAAAAGGTGGTGAGTTAGATTCCTGGTCAGGGCACATACCCAGGTTGCAGGTTCAGTCTCTCTCTCCCTCTCTCTCCTTCCGCCCCTCCCCCCCTTCTCTTTCTCGCTCCCTTCTTCTCTCTGGAATCAATAAAATAAATAAAATAAATAAATAAATGATTGTTTAAAAAGAGGAGAAGGAAAAGGAAGGAAGAAAGAAAAGATGCTGATTTGTGGCCCTGAATTTCACCATGTCGGGCAGATGGGATAAGATCAGATATGTGGTCACGCCACCTCTGCAGGGAGAGGGGGGCTGGAAAGGTAAGGTAATGACTCCCACAAACAGCAGAGAGGAGTATGATGCCTGTCTTAGAACGCATGCCACACATTTCCAAAGTTTGTTCTAATTTCTAAAGAACGCCAGATCATAAGGCTGGTGGTTAACATTCTAGACCTGGGACTACCACTGCTTTTCTTTGAGATTTGGGAACAACTCACTTAAGAGCTGTGTGCCTCAGTTTCTTCAGTCATAAAAAGGATGTTCTCATGCTTTTGGCATGCATTATGGTTGCTGACTCCCCAAGGAAGCTCCATGCCTCACTTTTTCCTGACATAACCCCAGCTTTTGGAGACAGGTTCAGAAGAGCTGAGCCCGCCCCTAGTCCCAGGGGACTAAACCTGGGCTTGTATATACCAACTATGCTAATGCCATTCCCTCCGCCAGTAACTGGTTTAAGAATAGAAATGTGATGAGATTCCAGCCAATCAGAAGTAAGGGAAAGGAACACTGGGAGGAGGGCTCCTGGGAAATTTTTTCTTTGATCTTAAGAAGAAACACAAGGAAGAGATGTTTTCTCTTCTGTCTTTTGGGTGTCATACTTGGACCTGTGGCCGCCTTATAACCATTAGCCGACAAATCTGAAAATAAAAGCTAAAACACTGAGACTATAGAGAGGAAAGGTAGAAAGCATCAAGTCTTGTATGACATCACTGAACCAATGAATTAACCAACCCAGCAACTACCCTCGAACCTCTAGATCTACTGCTTAATGAGAGTAAACAAACCAAAAAACTGATCTTTTGGTTATAAGTTAGGCCTTCTGTTACTTGCATCTAAAACATTCTTTTTTTTCTTAAATCCTCACCTAAGGATATTTTTTTCATTGCTTTTCAGAGAGAGTGGAAGAGGGAGAGAGAGAGAGAAAGAGAGAAACATCAATGCGAGAGACACACATTGATTGGTTGTCCCTGCAAGCACCCTGACCTGGGCGAGCGTTAAACCCTGCAACCGAGGCATGTATCCGTGGACGGAATCGAACCTGGGACCCTTCAGTCCAAGGGCTGACTCTCTAACCACTGAGCCAAACTGGCCAGGACGCATCTAAAACATTCTGAATGATACACTACTTGGTCATCTAGAACCAAAAAGGCACACATTAATGTGAAAAATTTTCAAAATTCAATGCTCAATATAATACAAGGTACCATATTACTACTTTTAGTTTTAAATAGGAATAGAAATTAGACTATAATAAGAATACACAGGGGAAAGTAAGTTACAAAAAATCTTTGAGCATGCTTATAACCATAATTCTGAACTCTGTATCTAGTAGCTTACTTGGTTCTATTTCATTTAGTTCCTTTTCTGGAGATTTCTTCTGTTCTTTTCTTTGGGACAGGTTTCTTTGCCTCCACATTTTGGCTCCTGGAATTTGTAGAGTGGCTTTGTGTAGTAGGTGTCCTGTAGGGCCCAGTGGCTCAGCCTCCCCAGTCACCTGAGCTGGACCTTCTAGGTGCTTTCCTGTGTGGGCTGTGTGCACTGTCCTGTTGTAGTTGAGCCTTGGTTGCTGTTGGCATCACTGGGAGGAACTGACCCCCAGGCCAATCGGCTGTGAGGACCAGCTGCAACTACGGCTAAGGAGCTGGCGTGCTGGAGACAACCCTATGGATCAGGANTGTGAGGACCAGTTGCAACTACAGCCAAAGAGCTGCTGTGCTGGAGACACCCCTATGGAGCAGGATTTACTTCAGTGGAGCTTTGGTGTTCACCAAGTGCGCCCTTTGAGTGTGTCACTCCTGGATGTGGTAGGGTTTTAATCCAGCGTGGTCGAGTCTGCCCACCAGGTGCACTGTCTCTGGGGCCTCCCGGGAGGTGCAAAGTCAGCCTGTGCCAGTGCCTTGCCCAGGGCCACCCAGCATGAGCTACACAGCAAACCGTAGTTGGCTGCTACTTGTGCTGGGCTTGGAGGTGTCCAGGAGAGGCCAAGCTATGAGCCAATGCAGGCTGCCGCTAGTGCCAGGCCTGGGGCCACTTATCAAGCCGTATGGGGCCCGCTGCTGCTTGTTTGAGAGATTTTAGGAAAGTCCTAAGCATGAGGCTCGAGAGGCCACTTGCACAGAAAAGCCCCTGGAAATGGCCTGGATGAGCTGCAGGTGGGGAGGGGCGGGGCCTCCGGGAATCACGGGGCGGGGTCAAAGGCGTGAGTCAGGTGCTGGAGATTCAAATATGGCGCCTGCCTGCCGGCTGTGTGCGGGGAGGACTCGCCAAAGGAGCAACGGCCTCCGCCAGCTCTTCTGTCTGGGAGGCCCTCAGCGACAGTCCCCACTGTCTTTTACAGCCTGAAGTGGTGGGACTTCTCTTTCCAGCCCGGGGCACCCTGGGCTGGGCGGCGCCTGATGTGGGGCCGGGACCCTTCACTTCACCGGGAAACTTCTACCGCCGAGATGTCCCTCCGAGGCTGAGTCTCCAGGCTTCAGCCCAGATCTGCCCACGTCTCCAGCCTGCACCTCGGCCCCTCCTCCCGGTCTCGTTGCTTCTTCAGTTCCCTGGTTGTGGGGCTTCTGTACAGCCAGATTTCAGGAGGCTCTGAGTGAGGGTGCTTCTGTATTTTAGTTGTATTTCTGATGTGGCTGTGAGAGGTACAGCCATTCTCTGCGGGATAGTGATGGAGAGTGAAAGACTGAAAAAGGGCCTTTGCCTTTTCATTTGCAAGAGAGAATGAGGGTCTTTCTCAGCGTATGCTGCAGCACGATGCGGTACCTCTCCTTGTGAGGCACTCTGCTGTTCCACTCACACACAGTGTCATTCAGTTGAAGGTGGAGTTGCACAAGTGGCTGCCTTCTGGAGGGAAGGAGAAAGGCAAAAATTAACGGCGCGCGAATATCAAAGAGGAGACGGATTGTCATTAGGGTGAAATGAGCCAACTGATCTGAAAGTGCTTTGAAATTGTTCCTCTCTAAACACTTTACAAGGTGCTTAGTGATTCAAACCAGCTTGCAGCACTCTAGCCCGCTGACCTCAGTCCCCTTCCCCAAAGGGCAACTGAGTCTTACTCTGGAGACACGCCAGCCAAACAGTAACCCACCTGGACTGTCTGTGCAAATGCAGGACGCATGTAAAGGCCATAATACCACTGGCACACCAAATGTCTACCTTGGAAAACGGTCGCTCCTGCTCTGGGCTCCCTTTACTGCTGAACCACCACTAAGGGGTTGGGGGTTGTAGGACACGAGATCTATTCCTGGGGTCCCCAGAGCTATAGTAGAATGCATCTCACAGGTGGCTCAGAAACATCATTCTAAATTGTAATTGGAGAGGGAATCTGAAAAAAGACTACTAATCTTACATTTGGGGTGCAGTGTGGCTTCATTCAGCTTAGTGGAAACCAGGTCACCATGTTTCCCTTACAAAAGTATTCTTGCCAATAAATATAAAAAATGTCTATATAATAAAAACTTGCAGACCTGAACAGTCAGGTACCATTTTTTACCTATCAAATTGTCAAGACTTGGGGAAATATAAGAGTATGCAGTGTCGATGGGAACTTGGGGACCCAGGCCCTCTCAGACGAAGCTGGTCTAACTGTACTGGAGGACAGTCTGAGAAGCATCAAAGGCTTTAAAAACACATATCGTCTGACACAGTAATTCCACTTCTGGGAATACTCCGAAGAAAACAATTAAAGATCAACACAAATACTGAGCTACAAAGATATTAACACTTTCTTTTTGGGAAAGCAAAACATAATCCAATGACTGGAAGATTGGTCAAAATTATGCTATAGCCATATTATGGGTTACTCTGCAGACATGAAAAGCAATGCTGTAGATCCCTGGCCAGTGTGGCTCAGTCAGTTGGAGCATCTGTCCCATACACTGAAAGGTCACCAGTTCAACTCCTGGTCAGGGCACATGCCCAGGATGTGGGTTCAGTCCCTGGTTGGGGCAAGTGCGAGAAGCAGTCAGCTGATGTTTCTCTCTCCCCCTCTCTTTCTCTCTAAAAAAATAAAACAATGCTGTAGAAATGTGACTACTGACATGTAAAAATAGTGATATACTGTTGCACAAACTAAAAGCAGATTATAAAGTAATGGTAGGTGATTCTATTTTGGCTTCAAAAATATTAATATATGATTGTGTGAGTATCCTTCCAAAAAGGATCTGGAAGGCAATATATCAAGATTTGGTTCACAGACGTTGGTTCTAAAAGTAGGATTATAGGGAAGAGATTAACCAAACATATATGCATAACACAGGCAACAGACAATAGTGGACATAGACAATAGTGTGGGAAAGTCCTGGGGTAGGGTGGGAGTTGGGTGAAAGGGGGCAAAAAGGGGGAAAGCGGGGGACATCTGTAATAATGCGAACAATTTTTAAAAAATAAAAATAAATTTTAAAATAAATAAAAAGTAGGATTATAACTGCTTTTTATATTCTGTTTTCAGCATCTATTTTCAATGATTTTTTTCAATAAAGCGTATGTATCGCTTTTGTAATAAGAAAAAATAACAATTAAAATTTTGTTAATTTTGAAGAAAAATATCCAAACTATAAGCTGGCTAATAAGTGACCTCCTAAAGCACAAAGCATTCATACACTGTGCAGGGTCTATATCATACTCCTCAGGCAACCCTACCAGAGAATGAAAAATCCCCTTTCCTCTCTGCCGAGAAGAGGGCATCAAGCATGGGAGTGGGAATCTCTATATCAGTAGCAGGAAAATAAACAAGTGGTCCAGGGATCAGCCACGCCTGGGTGGCTCACCTTTGTTGCCGCAATTTTTGGGAGAGGTGCTGTAGGTACACGGATGGTGAGTTTAAGCGCTGTGTCAGCAGAGACGTATCTGCTTCACACAGGCTCCAGAAGACATCAGCTTCTTGGTGAACCGTGCTGGCCCCCGACTGCCTTGGCCTGGAATCCATATTGCTTGCTGATAGCCCGTCGACCTCCAGGAGGCTGCTGCCGTCCTCCAAGCGGCTCTCTGACTCCACGTAGTTCTGAATAAAAAAGATCTTCGGCTTTCCCAAGAGAGAAGGGCATGTATCTCCCATGAACATTCTCCTGATCTGATCCAAAGCCAACCCTGAGTGAGTTCGATCCACGCCAAACAGCCTCTGGGAGTCCCCTCGGCTCACCAAGACACACACAAAGCTGTCGTAGTCTTGGTGTTGAGTCATATGGGAAACTTGGTAAAGAACACGAATTATATTGTCCACAGTTGGATATAAGGAACGCCGGACTTCATAGCCCAGGGAAGTGAAGGTGTCTCGCAGATTCTCTACGAAAAAATGCAAACAAATACATAGCAATGGAAACATTTGCAGAGCACAGATCCAAACAGCTGCAGAAAGGGTGGCATGGGTCACGAGTTCCCTCACCTCCACTTGCTGCAGGATGATATGGAGACCCCTAAGATGTAAGTTGTGACCATTTCCAGGCTCTCCAGTTTCTCTCATGACCTGCTTCCCAGTTTGACCTCCCACTAAGCAGTGGGAACCCTTGGCCAAGATTTCCTACAGTGCTCCTAAAGAATCTTCTCCTAGTTTGCAGGAATCCTGGATTGACCTTGGCTCCAGAAGCAGTAGAAGGCAGTAGGAAAAGCAGACTTCGAGTCTGCCGACTTGCCACACCTATGGGCGGCATGCTCTTTAGGAAGTGGGTCTTCCTAGCTTTAAATGGAAGTGGTGAGACCCACCCAATGAGAACGCTGTGAGGATTAAATGAGATAATACAAATAAACTTCCTGGTGCTCAATAAAAATTAGTTCCTAGTCTCTTTTCTTAAATCTTTTTGTCCATATTCTAGAAGTTTCTATGGCCTTGGAACTCTAGACACTCTACCCAGTCTACTTTTCCATCTGCTCAGTTTACCTTCACTGGAGAAATGTACACAGGCTCCTGAATTGTTTTACCTTTCTAATAGCAAAGAGAAACATCTTTCTTTTCCACGCTCAAAAATTCCACATTCTTTTGAGCCACTCATTAAGTTGTTTCCTGTCTGAGAGATGTCTCCAGTTTTTAGCTCATTTGCAAGGCAGAAAACTGTTCTGTCCTAAGCCCAGAGGCTAAACAAGTATCTCCTAATTCAAGTTGTCACCAAAACTATTAGCCCATGAACTTCTCTGGGTTTGTTTCCATGTCTTGTGACTATGTTCCCACCTCTCTTCTTCCCCTGGGGAATGATCTTCCAGAAGCCTACCACTGCATTCACCCCAGGCCAAACAACATAAGAATAATTAGAACACATATGACTTCCACCAAGGAACAAAGGGGTCCCACCTCCTGCTAGTTTAGGCATCACAAAAAGCATCAAGGGGAGATACATAACTGAAGGTAGCACATAACTGTTTATGACAAATTCTCAATTCTCTACACTAAATGGGAACAATCTGAAGTCTGAATAGTCCCAAATAATTCAGACTCACAGCTTGAACCAAGAGTTTTCACTTTCTTGCTCTGCGAACTCGACCGACCACTAATAAAATACGAAAGTGAAAGTAAGTAATCAAAATATCTCTCCTGGCTTCTCAGCAGGAAATAGGAAAAAGACAAAAGGTAGGAAAAGAAACACAGCCTTGGGTAAAGAAAAAGCTGGAATAACAGCCACTGGGCAAATAAGAGCTGGCCTGAGTGCTCTGAATTTAATTCACTCAGCCATGAGCAGTGTCTAGACACATTCACACAGGGGATCTAGTAGAATTTTCCACTCAGGAGAGCTGGGTTTCCCTGTGGCCCCACATCCTACCAGATGCAACAGTTTTAAATATGTCCACAAATTCTTCGGTACTCCTCCCTTTAAAAGATAAAGAGTAATTCCCTCCCCTTGAATGTGGACCACACTTGGTAACTAGTGTCTAATGAATGGAATGTGGCAAATGGGATATTATGACTTCCAAAGCTAGATCCCGAAAAGGATGTGGCTTCCGCTGGTTCTTTCTCTCTTTTGAACTGCTTACTCCAGGGGAAGCCAGCTGCCATGTCCTGAGAACACTCAAGGAGTCCCGTGGAGAGGCTCACATGAAGAACAAACGCCTCACACCAACACCCCAGCCACGTGAGTGAGCCACCTGAGAAGATCCTGTAATCCCACTCGAGCCTCTGACCACTCCCTCCTGAGAGGCTCTGGGCCAGATCAGCCAGCTACCACTAGTAAGCTCCCAACCCACAGAAACTTGTTCTTCTAAGCTACTAAATTTTGGAGTGATCTGTACACATTAGTAGATAAATAATTCAGCTAAGTCCTTTGATCTCTCCTGTCAGGAAACGGTAATGGCAATAACCATGACTTAAGACTGTAGTGGGACAGCTTACTTTTCTCCTCTGCCTAGCCCACAGGTAAGGGTGAAAAGAATGAATTTTATATATCACATAATAATGAAAAGATATCAAGAAGGTGCCCATCTCCTTAAAACTCGATGATAAATAAGTATTATCAGGGAAATGAAGGACATAACACACAGGTTGCTGATATCCTACTAAATAACTCACTTGTCCCCACGAAATCTCAGTGTAGCAGAAAAGGCTTAGCCACGTGCCCCTGGCCCTCACCTCTGAGGGTGTGGGCAAGGCTTCAGCTCCCGGCACTGCGCTCAGGTTGGAACCCGGGAGTGTACAACTAGAAAGCCTGGACTAGGTCCCTAGTTTTATTCCAAATGGTTCCTTTCAGGATCCACATATCTCTGATCATGGAGTAGTCGCTCCTCCAGGGGGCAGAAGCAAATAGGGAAACACCAGCTCAAAGCTTTGTTTACTTGTTATCCCAGAGTGGTTATGCCCAGCTGGCATGGCTCAGCGGTTGAGCATCAACCTGGGATCCTGGCGACCCGGGTTCAAATCCCGGTCAGGGCACATGCCCTGGTTGTGGTCTAGGCAGCCCCATTGATGTTTCTCTCTCTCCCCCTCCTTTTCCTCTCTCTGAAATCAATATATATTAAAAAAATAAAAATAAAAAAAAGAATGGTTCACTTCTTTCAAAACCCTCTCTCCCTGAGAGATTTCCTTCTTTATCAAAGCCCTTGAAAGAAACCCATAGTCTCTTCCCAAGCTGACAGGCAGGGGTCCAGCTGGGACAGGACGAATGCGGTCGGTCCGGTGCCTTCCACCTTTCCTTTATCTGGGCTCCCTGTGGGTTCCCGCTGGAACAGCAGCTTGTCGCGTGGCAGCGAGCAGGCAGGTGTGGTGCAGGGCAAAAGAGGAACCAGTCTTGGAATCACAAGATCTGAGATTAAGTCCGGGCTCCTCGCTCAACTTACTTGCTGAGTCTGAACTCTGCCTAGTCCTGACAGATGACGAACACCAGCAGAGGGGCTAAGAAGGGGATGGGAATCCGAGGTCAGGGCAGGAAGCCCTTTACCTACCAGAACAGGAGAAAAAAGGCTAACTCTGGAGGCGAAGCCAAAAAGCATACAAGTCCCCAGTGCTGAGAACAGGACAAGAAGAACATCAGATCTGGACAGGCCTCAGACCAAGATGGAGCATCCTTTAAATATCCTTCTGGAAAGACAGTCACTCAAGAGACCAGTCTGATGTCACTGCAGCCGACGTTTCCCATTAATATCACATCTTTCCTCTATCAGACTGTGAGGTGGCCTGGTGACTGATGTCAGCGGGGAACTGCAACTTTCTTTGCTGGGCCAGCAAGAACACCGAGATGCCCAGTCTAATTTATAGGATCAAAGGGGTGGCAACAGCGTAAAGCTGAACAAGGTACAGCCTTAGTTTACTCACCTATAAAATGGGATTAATACTGATGCCTCTACTATGTTCTCCAAAAGGTGGCTGTGGGGATCCAATGAGGTTTCTGTCAAGATGCTTTGCAAGCCGTGATTGCTTATAAATATAAGGTAATAACTTTAAAGGAAATAAAGGCAGGCATTTCAAATCAAATCACGGAGCCTGTGGTACATCTTTCTCATGGAATCTGCCTCCTTAGAACCCAAAAAAAGTCTCTACCTCTGAAACTAAAATGGGTTCAGAGCAGTCAGTTTCTGTGTCCTTAAACAGCACGGCGACTGCCTTGTCATTTCCTGCATATAGGGGAAGAAAAACTTGGAGGCTGAGTAGGAAATAAAACTTCAAACGGCAGTTCTCATTCAACTCACACTGGAAATTCCACTCCTAACCCAGCCTTATTCTTTGTAAACTTAATTGTTTTTCAGAAACCGACTTTCTGAAATGAGGGGGCGAGTGGGTTCTTCTGGCCGTTAGTGGGGGTCAGCACCACCTACAAAGCATCTCCACGAACTATCTGGCTTTCACATCTCCTTTGCCCTGTTAGAAGAGGATATTTACTTATTCAAGATTTACAAAGGAAGTATGCAGCATCTGCTAGAAAAATCAAAGTCTTTACCTGCTTAAACAGTACAGAAAGATCTTCAAGCTTTTCAGAAAGAGCCAGGGAGAAAAGAAAGAGGAAGAAATGATTTCTAAAATATTTTATTCAGGAGCCTACAAACCAACCAGAGCTTTAGATTAAGGCCCAGAGTTCATCTGTCTGTGATGGGAGAGACATTCACTTCCCCGCTCCTAACAAGATCAAAAGTCAGCGCTATCTTAGGGCACCACAAATCAGTACACAGATGACACAATATCAAGACTTGTTTCTTTTTTTTTTTTTAATATGTCTTTATTGATTTCATAGAGAGATAGAAACATCAATGATGAGAGAGTCATTGATCGGCTGCCTCCTGCACGCCCCCGACTGGGGATCGAGCCCGCAACCCAGGCATGGCCCTGACAGGGAATCGAACCCCGATCGCCTGGATCCTGGGTCGACGCTCAACTGCTCAGCCACGCCCAGCCAGGCAAGACTTGTTTCTTAATTCTACCAAACTGAGATAACTAGCTCCAAATCCCTAAGCCTCCATGTCTGCTCCAAGAAGAGTTACTGACCTCTGTAAGGATTCTTTTCAAGAACAAGCCACTGAAACAATCACTTCAGTGTTGTTCACAGAGTGGCTCTGAGACCAGACTGTGCCTCATAGCCTCCAAATATGCTTCATACAGGGCCAAGCATGGTGTTTTGCACATAGTAGGTACTCGGTAAACATTTATGAGATAAAGGAAGAACAAACCTATAAATATTTTGGGGGACTTGCATACTCTCTGGGTAAAAGTCTCTTTTTATTTTATTTTTTTAAGGACAGAAGATAGGTAGGTATAAGAGTCTGCTAAATTCTGCAGATACAAAGGATGGTTTTAGAAACACACTGAGATTAGAAGAGCTTATTCCTTCATTCATTCACCCACCAAATATTTATTGAGCTCCAACATGCCAGGCACTGTTCCAGGTACTGGAGACACAGTGGAAGGGATGGATAAGCTCCCCACATGAAACTTACATTATAGCAAAGTAGCTAAGAGCAGAGGCTTTGGAGCCAAGCTTTCAAATCACAGCTTTATCAGTTACTAGAGAAGTTAGGAAAGGGAGTTCACTGTGCTCTGCTTGCTCACCTTGAAAATGGGGATAATAGTACCTATCTTACAGTACTATTTACGAAGATTAAGTGACAATCCAAGTAAAGGAATTAGCAAAATACCTGGCACATAGGTTTTTAATAAATTTACACTCTGATCACTACCACTCCCAAATTAGTATTATCGTGTTACTGTTAAGTTTCTTTCAGATCCCTTGTCTCAGTTGGTAATGTTTATCACCTGACTCCTACAATCATCCCAAATGTCCAACATTAACAACATGACAAAGGTAACTAGGAAAGAGACAAAGGAAACCCCACACAATCACTCTAGATGAAGTCTCCATGCTGTTCAGATGGAAATGAAGAAATGAGGAGTACTGGGTGTAATTAAGACTACTGTTAGCCAAAGCAGGATTCCAGGCCACAGTGAAAAATCTCCAAGAGGGGAGTTGGCAAGAGTGAGAGGCCTAGAAAGAGGGTGTGAGAAAAAGAGACTGTTCCTTCCACTCATTTTAATTAACACTCTCCAGCTGCTCTAAGTCTCAGCTGGGCTTACGATGGATTCTGGACCCCTCAGCAGATAAAAGCCACAGAACAAAGGTAGTCAAGTGTGCTGTCTAGTTTCTAACCTCTTAATTGGCCACCTGTGCCCAGGAGGGGTTGTATAAGAGGCCTCAAGCCCTGTTATTTGTTTTGTTCCCAGAGGCAGGGACAGCTTGAGTCAAGGAAGCAGGCATATAAATGCACCAGAGGCCGATACCTGCTCATACCNAGGCATATAAATGCACCAGAGCCCAATACCTGCTCATACATCAAGCCAAAGACACAGGTGCCCCAGACTCCACCTCCAATTCTACCCTCCTTTCCATCTTTCTCTCTAATCAGGTCTTCCTGACTTCCCTCACCCCACCCTAGTCTTGGTACTCAAGATTCTCTTTCTCTGCCAAGCCCATTCACAATGATGACTGGTAGGAGTGGTCTGCCTAGCTTTCCACCTGGGCAGTTCCTCAGAAGTTATGATCTCTCAAGAATACCCCTCCATTCCACTTGGCCCCAGCCTGTGGGGACCTGCTCCACTCAGCAGAGCCCAGCGCAGGCCTCAGGCCCCCAGTTCCCTAGTCCCTCATTCGTCTGGGATCAGACTCCATGTACCACCCAAGTTCTAGCTTAGTGGTTTGCAACTAAAATTAAACAAATTGGGGAAATAATGTTAGCTGGCACTTAGTACACATTCACAGTGTGCCAGGCACTGCTCTAAGCCCTTTACTCACCCACTCCTCCCAACCTTCATATGAGGCGAGTCCTGTTATTAACCCATTTTACAGAAGAGAAACTGAGACATAGAGAGAAAATCTGCACAAGGTCACAAGCTAGAACATGGCAGAGCGATGATTCACACCCTTGCAGTCATAGTCCAGGGACCAATTCTAACTATGCTCCTGAAATGCAGAAATATATAAATCCACATTCCATCCCTGCCAGCAAGAGGCCCATAACCCAGCAAGGGAAACAAGCACAGACGATGGATTTTAGTCACAAATTCACAGCAGATCATGGCTTTATCTTTATAATAATTCTCTTTATACAACGGATGTACATCCTGCACTATGTGCACCTGGGAACTCTAATGAATGAAACCAAAATGGAAAGCAGAAGACAACTACACAGTCTCTTTAAAAGCAAGAAGTTACTCACTGAGAAAATATCTTCTCATCCTTATATTGATACTAATGGCTATAAAAGAAAGGACACTTATCTAGGGGTGAGGAATCAGCATTTCTCACATCTAACTAAAAATAGGGCATGAAGAAGTGAGATCATACCCGAAATCCTAGGACATCGAGCCTAATATTTGCTAATTTGATCTGCTGTTATATTCTCTTCCCATAAATCTCACCATGTTAACACTTAAAGTAAGCCTAAAAGATAGCTCTGATACATTCTAAGAGAATGTTGGAAAGCTGGAAGGAAACTGGGGAAACAGAATGATCAATCCTTTTAAGGAAGAGATAAGTAATTAAACATAATGTTATTCCACTTGAATAGATTCTTCTCATCCTCTTTAGATGTGTCATCAGTGACTGATCTCATTTGAGTCAGACATCCACCCACAATTGGGCAAAAGAATCATTTCAGATCCAAACAATGGTGACACACAGGTAGCACAGACTCGGAGCGACAACGGAAGTGCAGAACTAAGTGACACACTGCCTCTAAGAGAACACACACTTATCATATTTTTAATGTTACCCAGAAAGTTTAATGGTATCTCTCTGGGTGAAATGATGGGGCATCTGGTAATACTGAAGCCAGAAAGCCTTTCATTTTACATCCCCCCACCCCACCCCACCCCAGGTCCCAGGACTGCTCTTTGCCGCAGCATCCGGCATGGAAAGACAAGACTAAAGTTCACCAACTTTCAAAAATTATGCCTTTTTGCCAGACAAAANCAAGACTAAAGTTCACCAACTTTCAAAAATTATGCCTTTTTGCTCTGTGTTCCCCAAATCCCCTTCCAGTTTCCTTCTCACACACAGCTAGACTAACTTCCTTGCCCACTGGGTTAGGTGGGGCCATATGAGTGAACTCCGAGAAGTGGAATCTGGGTAGAAATGATGCACAGCACTCTGGCCTGGTGCCCAACTGCATGTGAGATCATGTATGCAGGAAAAGGCCAGCAAAGAACAAACAAACTCTGAAGGAGTTGGTCGGCAAGCTTCCGGGAATTGCAGAAATCCCCTTGGAAAGCAACCGAAACCTTTCTGCCAGGAAAGGAAACAGATCCTTATCTTTCTAGGAAGCTTGCCTCCAGGAGAGTTATGGCCATAAGGAAAATACTAAGCATATAGCTCAGAACAAAGCCATTTGTTCTTGCGCATTTTATGGTTTCTACTGATCACTTTCTCTAACATCCACTTTTCTGTGGCTCACAATAAAAATCGCTGGATGGTGAGGAGGGTTGTTGCAGCTCCTCCAGAGCCTCAAACCTCTGCATCTCCACCTGNGGAGGGTTGTTGCAGCTCCTCCAGAGCCTCAACCCTCTGCATCTCCACCTGAATTCTACATTCTCCATGTCTCGAGTTTTCTTCGCATCCCGCGAGCACAACAATGTACTTCCTTTATCCACCAGCCAGATGGAGAGGATCCTGTGGGAAACTCCAGGACCTCAGATGATGAAGCCACTAAATGACCATATGGAACAAAGTTCCCCCCAGCCTAGCAGTTTTCAACCTTTTTCATCTCATGGCACATAAACTAATTACTAAAATTCTGCAGCACACCAAAAAATATATTTTTTGTCGATCTGACAAAAAAAAAGGAATGATTTTGATTCATTCACACCGAATGGCTATTGTTGTGTTGGCTGTTGTCATTTTTTAATTTAACAATCTAAGGGAAAAGAAGTCACTGCCCCTGACTAAATAGTCAGGTACTGCATGTTTTAAAAATTCCTGCAGCACACCGGTTGAAAATCAAACTCCCCTCCATGCAGATTTGCACCATGGTTTATAACAGCAGCTAGTGTTCATCACACTGGCAAATATAGCTTGCCTGTGCTGTGATCTCACTCTGGAGGCATCAGTTAATCTGCAGCATCCACACCTACCTGCATCATTGCCTATGCAATCAATTATCAGGCAGATTCCTAAGGGCTTGCTCTGCATCCTGTATCTCTCTTCAGGTATGGGCTGAAAAACAAAGTAGGGATTATTAAAGACTGCATACAGCTGTTTCTACAAGGTCTCACCTATATACTACCTTTTCTTTGGGATTTTCTTACGCATCCCTTTGGCAATTAAGTCCGTCAAGAGAGCCTGAAGTCATCACAGTTGACATTTCGCATTAAGATCATATTTTTCCTCTATTCAGGTAATGAGCTTAAGACAACAAGCTATTTCCGTTTTGATTTAACTTTAATGAGAACCACAGTCTCTTTATACGTGTCTCAGCTTTGCAAGACAAAGATAATTTGAAACAGAGAAAAGATGGATTGTATGTTTTCTTAGTAACCTGAGTTTGTACAAGTGCTATCTTTCCAAACTAGTACAAAAGGAGGCCTTCTATTGCCTGTCCTTACAGGGAAGAGGCTATCAGCCTAAGAAAAAGCCAGAACAAGTCAAAGTTCAGCGTTGCTGCTTCCTGATATGTTCCGTAATCACTCAGCTGAAAAGAGAAACAGCACTTTTGGAATTTCCTTGCATTCCAAAGTTCACTAATGCAATCCACTTCCGCATGTTTCTCTTTGCTACAACCACAGTTCTCCTTTAGGAGAGTACCAGGAAAATAACACTCTCAAAACCCTACCGATGTCACAAAAAATTCTTAATAGATATTTTTAAAGAAGCTGGTGTTCTCCACAGGTACTGTGCATACAGTACAATACCAAATCAGATCATTTATTCTGTACCTGAGGCAAAAATGCTCCTGATTCTTGAATGGATGTCTTCACTGGTATTCCTGGAGGGTGAGAGAGAAATCATTTACAAAGCTGAAGGAGATTTAGCCCACTCCCATGCTGGCTGCATTTCTTCGTATCACAGGTGTCTCTTCCCCTCTTTTCTTCCCCCTATGATCGCTTCTTTCCTCAGCTGTACTCAGCCCCAAGGTTCTGCCCTCGCACTGAAAAACCTGACAGGAAACCCAAATATCCGTGCTAAACAGGGGTCACGTAGAAAAACTGCTTAAGCAGCAAGTGAAAGAAGGCTCTCCCTTGCCTTCTCCAGGTGAGGACCAGGCTACTGGTGCGTTTTTAACCTGACAGGGAGTAATAACTTCACCACAAACAATATCAATAGCTTTCCTACATGTGCTAAAACTATGGACAACCCCCACAGGAACAGCCTTAGAAACTGAACAGATGGCCATGTTTTCTTAGTCTAGTGATACTGGAAGATTATAAAATAAAATGTCAATGGCAAGAGAGGAGACAGTGAGCTTAGCAAATGTAGATGAGCCTAAAGCACATTTTGTTAGATAAAAATGACTTTATTTGCCCAGGGAGGTAGAGAAACCAACAGTTTTAAAGCCATAAAGGGCTGGCTCAAACCCTAGCACCATCACTGACAAACTCTCTAATCTGGGCAAGTTTCTTCCCGAAGTCTCAGGGGTTTTGTAAATCTCTAAGGTGAATAAACCAATATCTACTCTATACTATTGTTGCAAAAATGAGAAATAATGTCTAAAGACAGGCAAAAAAAATGCCAGTACTGATGAGGTTTAGGGGAAATGAGCACTTTCAAATACCAAAGCTGTAAAAGCTGACTCACTCTTTTTAAAGAACTAGCAACACCCTTTAAAACAAATTCTGCTTCTAGAAGTTTATCTTATGAAAATAATAGAGGAACTGTGCAAAAATGCCAAGGACATCTACTGAATGACTGTTTTCACAACGACCCTAAACTAGAAAGAAATTAAAAGTCTACCAACATGAAAACAGGGTAAATTATGGTCCACATAAGGGAATACTATGCACTGTTAAAAAGGATAAGAGAAATCTTCATGTATTTGACATGAAAAGATATACAGGATATATTAAGCAAGAAATGGATTACTAAATAATATAATATTGATCCATTATACTTAAAAATATGTATTTGCATGCATATACTTACACATCTATGTGCAAAAAAGTAAGAGTCCTAGAGGTATATAAATCAAACATTAATAGTGGTTATGTCTGATATGTGGAATTAAGAGGAAATTTCACTTTATCTTTTTCTATTTTAGCAATTATGGATTAACAGGGTTTTTAAAATTACAAAATAATCTATGTAATATGCTTATATCTGTTTAAGGCACTTAGTAAGAGCTTAATAAATTGTAGTTATAATCATTCAGATGAAATCTATTTAGAAATCCAAATTAATATGATTACTTGGTTTGATTATTTTAAACTTCTATTAGATTAAGGCCAAGTTATCAGAATGGTTTCTTCTTTTTATTAGCAAATAAACCATGTCTAGGCCAAAGCAGGTAACTAGTTCTCCTAGGATCATAAGGGGTGTGGGGAGCCTTACTTACTTACCTCACCTGTATAATTCTAATCAAGGATAAACCTGCCATTAGTGCAGCGGAAAAAACACAGACTGTTTTTAATTTATATCCAAATCTACCAGGTCTCCTATTTCCCTTTAAACAGCTTTCAGAATGCTAATTCTCACCACCTCCCCAGTGTTTTAAGAAATACTGTCACTTCAGGAATTAATTTGCTCCTCAGTAGCTTTTGCTGGAGAGCAGAGTTTTAGGTAGGAAATGACAGGAATGAGCTTCACCATCTGGCAAATCTGGGCAAAATGCTTTTCAGTTTCCAGGTGCACGCAGGCAGCACTTAGGCTGCCACACACAGATGGCTTCTGTCAGGCCACTGCCCTACAACAACGTTCACAATCTCCACAGCACACAGGACAAAGTCCAAGCTCTTCAGGTAAGACGGAGCCCTCCTAACCTGCCTATCAAGCCCTGCCTGCCTGCAGGAGTTCTGAAGCACAGCCGTCTCCACAGCAGTGTGACTGAGTCTCCGCCCTCACTTCAGGGAGGGCTCAAGACAAGCAAAAGAAACACACTTTAAAAAAAAAGATGGGACTGTGTGCTGCTGTTAGAGAGATGAGAGAGATCATACAGGTTGAAATGACTAGTTTCTTATTGTATTTTTTCTTTCCTTTTAGGGGAGGCGGATGTCATCTATAGAGTATCTAGACTTATTAAATGGACTATAAAACAAGATCTCAGTAACCTTTCTTCTTCCTGCTGCTAGATATTTGATTTAACATGGTTCATTATCATGGCTAGATTTATGTTTAACATGGCCTGGTTTTTGTTCTATCTTGGGTAGAAATGTCACATCTCTTAAAAATGTATAGCCAAGAAGATGAAGCTAATAGGGTAAGAGGTGTTTAAATTCAAATAAGTGAATTCAGTAAATAACTAGAAATGCCAATGAACACATTTTAAGAGTTTAACTACCTTTGCTTTTGAGAGCTTTAATTAGACTGTATAGATAAAGAAAATGGCCAGCTCTAAAAAAATAAAACATTTTGTACTGGAATTATCAAGCATTTATAAAGAATGAGTAAAAAAAAAAAAGTTAGTCTTACTTTGAATGGCAGGCTGTTTCACCATGAGTCTTTGTTCTTTACTCCTCGCGTTCTGATAAAGAATAAGGTCACATCCCTGTTAGTTTTTTCAGAGTCACATTATATTACACTTTTTTAAATGTTTTAATAGGATTTTTACCCAGGGAAAAATTAAAATACCACCTTCGCTGATAAATCATCTAAAGAAGAATAGCAAGAGCAATTAACTCCATGACTCCTATATCTTGTAGCCAAAGAGCAAGGCAACTCTTCTAAGAAGTGAAAATACAATTAATGTGTAAATGAATGCCTATCTAGCATATTAGAAGGTTTCCAAACAGCTCAATAATGTAAGCTGTTATGGTATAGTAGAGTTGCTATCAGAGCTCCAAGACAGAACAATCTGTTGGAACATGCGATTGATATTCAACCTGATCCTTTAACAAAGAGGCAATGTATGTATGGTTAAGAGCAGGAGTTCTGGCCCAAATAAAACTGGCTATAAATCTCGATTCTGCCACTTACTAGCTATGTAACCTCAAGCAAGTTATTTATTTATTTATTTANTGCAACTTTGATAAATTCATTTTTTAAATCCAGTAGTATTTTGGTGGATTATTATTATTATTTTGTTTAAAATACTACAGATGTCCCTTTTTCTCCCCAATGACCCATTTCACCCCATCCTATCCCCCTCCCCAGTCCCTCTCTCCACCGTTGTTTTTGTCCTTGGGTTGTGCATATATGCATATAAATTCTTTGGTTAATCTCTCCTCCTCTACCCACCTNTCTCCCCAATGACCCATTCCACCCCGTCCCACCCCCCTCCTCAGTCCCTCACCATACCATTGTCCATGTCCTTGGGTTGTGCATATATGCATATAAATTCTTTGGTTAATCTCTCCTCCTCTACCCACCTCCCCTCCTCCATCCCTCTGACATTCGTCAGTCTGATCCATGCTTCCATGTCATTGAATCTGTTCTGTCCATCAGTTTATTAAGTTCTTTAGATTCCACATATAAGTGAGATCATGTGATGTTTGTCTTTCTCTGCCTGGCTTATTTCACTTAGCATAATTTTCTCCAGATCCATCCATGCTGTCCCAAAGGGTACGAGATCCTTCTTCTTTACAGCTGC